ATATATTTTGCTCTCACACTCTTGTGTGACTTCGATTCTCCTTGTGTTTGGAAAATAGAAGTATCATCGCAAACCTAGTGGTCTTCTGATTTCCGTCTTTCTTGCGTCAGGACTATTAAATTCTCGACCAGTACATAACAATAATTTGGCGACGAGTACATTTTTTTTTTTTTTTTTTTAATGAAGCCATCTTTTCGTTTGACAACCACTACCTCGTTTCAAATCTTATCCATCCTATGTCAGCTAGCATTGCCTGTCGAGGAAGGCGATGGCAAAGAATGCGTGACACATGTCTTAACTATCTCAGTCGATGTAACTGAATGACTAACGTACATACACAGATATGTATAGGGGTGAAAAATCGATATACAACTCATTGGAGAAAAATTCTACTCACTGTATTCTCGAAGTTGACGGGATTTCATTCATTTCCTCCTTCTACGAAGTGAACGAGGTACAATTGATGAGCGTCGTCTTTTCTTTGCCACAGGAGTAGTCACAACTCTATGGAAAATGAGAACCAAAATCAAATTTTTTAAAAAAGAAATTGACTTATTTCAAAATTTGATCATCAGCCGAAATCAGTTAGAGATTTCTATATAATTGAAAGCTCGAGTGTATTAGATAACTGTTTTATTCTATTTTGTTTGGCACTCTCTATGAAGTAAGCCGGAGATCGAACTCATACGCATATATGACAGCGAGAAAGAAGGTTAGTATACTGATTTGTAAATATTTATACTGTTATATATCTATTTCTTGTGAGTACCTACCTTTGTGGTATTTTATATTTAAGAATAGAGTTCATGATGTTAACCCAAGAACCATTTTAAAAATTGCTTTACAATCGAGTCCGACCCCGGTGTATTCGTCATACTTGAAGTGGTATTTCGAGTACTAATCTAACAGTAGAAGACAACAGACTTGATAACGGGATGTTTATTTGGGATTTGATATACACACACATACACACATACATATATGGGGAAAGTGTGTGCGCCTTATATTAAAATCATTGTTTGTGTTACTTCTGCCTTTCGTATTTCGTTTCTCTGTCTTCTTTACACGTCTCCCCCCGCCCCACAACACAGGTTCATTCGCCATTTCTCAAGTCAACTCTATCTCTCCGCTATTAGGTGTTTTTTTCCGATGGACGTCTCTTTATATTATTATTATTGTTCCCTTGGGTTCCTAGTGGAACATAGGTCTTCAACTGCACGTCTTCACTTCCTTCTGTCTTCTACTATACTTTTCACCTGCATCCATGTTAGTCCATACTCTTTCAACTCCACTTCACACGATCTCCTCCATGTCACCCTTGCACTGAAGTCCTACTCGCCGCTTCCCTTTCGGTCTGGTTCCACTCGAGCAATGGCATGAGCGCGCGCCATGTCACCCAGCGGCCTCCTCGGTGAGCGAGTGTCCAATCCATCCATCTCCACTTTCTCCTGCATATTTCTTGGTTGGCGATTGGTTTGTTCTTGTTTTGTTTGTTCCCATAGTTTCCCATGGTTGGTGATTCTTTCCAGCCCGGCCATCTTCGAACCATTATGATCACCGATTGTGTCCAGGAGAATTGTTTGGATCGTTAAAGGCCTCAAATGAAGGTTAAAGATTCAGTAAGATCAACTTTTCCATAGTTTTTAGAAAAGGAGAGGTAACAGCAACAAGTCTAGATTTAAAACATGTTCTAGTAGATGACTTAAGTATAGGTACAATTTTATTGTTCTTCCAAACGGCTGGCAGGACATTTCTGGAAAAAGATTCATTAAATATGTCACTGAGAGGATAACAAAGGATATCTGCACATTTTTTAGGAATAACGCTAGGCACACCATCTGGAGCTAAGCTACAAGAAAGGTTCAGCGACTGGAGACATTTTAGAACATCATTTGTATTAAAACCAGGGAAGTAGGTTTCATTAACTCTTGTAACACTAGAAAGTTTGGCATTTGTGGGAGGATGTGTGAAAGACTTGTTTAGTGTATACACATCAAATGAATAAGGAATACTATTCATTTGCTTACCACTAGTAATTTCTTTGAAAAGTTTCCATATATGAAAAGCATTTTTACAAGATATAAACTTCTGGTTATAAACAGAATTCAACCTGTACATAAGGCAGCAGCGGTGCATCAAGTTTAGACACAGACGTACATTCCAATTTGTAAAATAAGTATACTCTCAAACTTCCGTACATAACAAATAATAGACAATACACAGTGAGTAGTCAGAGGACTAATCTAGTCAAACCAGGCACCCGATAGTTCAATGAAATGTTCGCCAACCACACAAACAGACGGTACGGATTCGACTCCCACCTCAAACACACTCCTAAACCTCGTCTATAATTAATTAACTAGCCAATGGTAAGGCCAGAATAAAGAGAGAAGGTTGACAGTAAGGCTACCACCTATCCCAACCTTAACACAGACACACTGTTGGGATATCTAGCAGAAAATAAAACCTGTTTTTAAAAAAAGAACAAAGTTAAAACAAAACTATGAAGAGATGATTATTACCTTTGAGAGGAAAGCGAGTTGACAGCCTGACATTTATTAATCTCCAGTTTGTTAGAAATTTTTGGTGTATCCTTGTCCACTGAATTGGATGCTGTTTGAAGCCATTGTATTGTGCCATTAAAGGATTTGCTGACACTACTTCTTGAAGAAGAAGAAGAAGAGACATCATTCATGTCAGGCGATAAAGTGACTGAATGCTTTCGACTTGATGACAGTGTAACTGAAGGTTTAGATTTTGGCGAAGTCTGACAGCCTACAGATCGTTGTGTACACGGTGAAGAAGGTGTACACTTTGACAGATGAGCAGACAACTGTTCTTCAAGAGTAGTGATCTTTCCCAACTGAAGTAAAAACGAAAACAAAAAAGTTGATATTACTAAAGATAACAATAATAATGATAATAGTGAAGAAAGCAAATGTTGAACCGAATGTAAACAAATAATCTACAAAACGAAGTTCTTTTACTACATTCTCTTAAAAACTTGGGAGGTGGTGATTCACTGTTGGAATATTCGCCAGTCTCACGCCGGTGTCCAGGTTCCACTTATAAACCTAGCCTAGTCTAGTTTGCAGTCCCGACAACAGCTAACCTTTCCATAATGGTCTACGAACTCGCCTTGTAAGCGGAAGGCCCTGGATTCGAATCCCGGTGGGTGTGTGCTGATGAAGAGCCACAAACTAGGACGAAACAGCCGTCCAATACTTCCATATTTTCCAATGATTCTCTAACTAATGTTAGCTCATGATGAAATTCTGTAACTAATCGAATCCCTGCAAATCAATACTTGAATAACAGCTAATTTCGCCATTCCGATACCAAAAACCAAATAACCAGTCAGAAAGGACGAACAAGCAACATGGGACTCTGGCAGTGAACCGAACCTATAAACAGAAGGCATTGTGAATGGAATGGACAGATTTGCAGGAAGTATCCTAGTGGTATCTGATATCAGAAATGCCGGCTGCATGAGCAACGCATACCCGGGTGTATAACGCTTCGAGACCTTTACCGATCAACTTACCCCTGTAATAAAATTTGGTCAGTGATTAGCTTCTACTTATTATCTCCCTTTTGAACCCCCCTTAACTCTCTTCTCATGCTTTGTGTGGTACATGGAATGTGGCAACTCCAATTGTTGCACTTCTGTGCAAATAGCTATATTGAAAACATACAGTCAGTCACTCTAATCTCTGGCATGAATTGTAATTCCACAAGTACAAGCATTTTAGTATAGGTTTGTAGGGATTTGGTTGATTGGTCACAGGATTTCATCATGAACTGACATTGGTTAGAGAACCATTGGAAAACAGCTGGGAGTACTGGACAGCTGTTTCGTCCTAGTTTGGGACTTTTCAGCAGTACACACTCACCGTGTGGGGTTCGAACCCAGGACCTACTGGTTACAAGGCGAGCTCATATACTATTAAACCACTGGGACCCGATCCAATGGCCCATGAATTCTAACTTCTCCCAATTCACGACATAGCGCATAGTACGAGCATTTGTCTAAATAACTTACAAAGTAATATTCGGTTTAGTAAAAAATCAATCATTCATTAGTTAGGATTCGGTGTGCAACAAAATGTTGTAGTGACTTGCGAATTGTATAAGCACTACATATCAGAATCCACACGAACTTATAACACTGATTTGGCTGAATTTCGAAGTAGAACCTTCTACACAAATGTACTAGTTCAAGTTCCCAAACTCCATGTAGCATACAAAGGGTTAGAGGAAAGAAACAAAACTATGAAAGGCAGAAAGGAATAGTAATATGGGAAAACATTAAGATTAAATGAATCTAGGAGTTTACATACAGGCTACGCACCTGCACTATAGACAACGGTTTTGAGCCATATTAATAACAGTCTGTAGCCACTTGTTGCTGGCATCTCAAGGATCCCAACCATACAGTCTACACCTCTGTATGTAGCTCAAACCAACTGTCAAGTACTCCACAGATTGATGACGGGTTTTGGTTTAACCACCCTATCATTCCTTTTCAATGTAAACTTACTTACTGAGGAAAGCAGTGATTTGGCATGAGTAACATGTGTCTTAGCCGTCTCAATCGATATGACTTCACAAACTCATTGACTGACTGACCGACTGACTGACTTTCCTTCGTCACCTAACACTCAACCTAACCCAAATATAACTCACCATAGTATACCAATGAACACGGGAGATAGAGCGCAAACAACTACCCTTCCCAAGTCTTCTACTTCCAATGACCATGTGTCACAACCACAAAAAGAGGTCAAGAAAGAACTCTACTGCACAGTACACACATCCTTTGATCAATAGCCAAATATCAAGTATACGTCAAGGATGACGTAATTTGGGAAACACCACTTATAAGAACAATACAATAGCAAACGTTGACAGTGATTGATATGTAGAAAAGCACAGACCGTCTGATAACTAAACGTGAACACAAAACAACCAAAAGAAAATAACATGAGTTGTAGACTTACTGCTGAATCTAACTGACGTTCTTGTTGTGTCACATAACGTGAAAGATACTTTAACCCAGTTGACAAAATCTTAACTTCCGCATTTACGCGCTCCATAAGGGTAACTGTATCTATAATTTATAGAAAGGACAAAAACATAACAATTCTATATGTAAGACAATATGTGCCAGTCGACAGATTTATGCACTGAATTCCCTAGTAATATATATAAATATACATGTACAGGATAGTAATTTAATTTTTAAATTAAGACAGTGACTGACTGAGTGGTTTCAACGTAGCACTTTACACAGATGTACACTAGTTCGAGTCGCCACACTCCATGTTGTACACAAAGCAAGAGAAGAAAGTACGAGGAAATGCAAAATAGAGACAGGAAACAGAGAATTGAGGCAAAAAGAATAGTAATATCGAAGAACAATATAGTTTAATTGGGTATTATGTCACGAAGAATGGATACCTCTGTGCCATCACTAAGAATGATTTCGACCCATATCAACAATTATCTCCAGCCTTCATTGGTGTTAACCATCTTGAGGACCCCAAACAGGAAATCGACACCATCCTACGTGACTAGCTTAAACTAACTGTTGTGCATTTGATTGACTGATGAAGCTGTGTTTTGGTTTGACCACCACTAACCAGCTCTTTTCCAGCTTGATCAATCCTATGCCAGCTAACATAACCCGTCGAGGACGGCTATCGATGGTTAGGCACGCGTAACACATGTCCTAAGTATCTCAACAGGTGTAGCTTCACAGCCTCATCGATTGATTTCCCCTCCTTACCTAACACTCGACGCCTAACCTCAATATTGCTCACCCTAAGATAGTAGTGAATTACTTCACTAGATCATGTAATGCAAGGGAGACAGGTCCGAGTATATACTATTGACTGAGTGATATCAGTAGTTGGAAACCAGTGACTTTAAGCCAAAGTGCTTGATAGTCGCATTGAAGCGATACATATCTGTCAGCAGATTCGAACCGGATACGCTTCTGATGAACTCCGTCCCAAAGGAACGGAACAGCTGTTCAGTGTCTAGATCTATCTAGCAAGCACTACTGTTTGACTTGATTGGTTTCCTAATACTCATATGAATCAATGAGGAATAGTAGCAGTAGTATCACGCTATTCAGCCTGCCATCTTGATTACCATTTATAGCATTACTCACTGACTAACATAGTCAGTTTTGAACGTAGAACTTTGAACGGGACTGCTGTAGTTTAAGTTGCCAAAGTCCATACAGAACACAAAGGTGAAGAAATAGAAAAAACATCAAATGAACCATAACGGCGAGAAATGAGTGTGAAAAAGAATAATTACATGGTGAATAATGAGGATTTAATGGATCTGATATGTTACAGAAAGGTAAATGCATCTGCACTATTGAAAACAGTTCTCATTTATATCATTGATAGTCACTGGCCATTGGTTCTAATCATCTCAAGAATATCAACAAGTTCGTCTTCCCCTCCCTATGTGGCTCAGACCAACCACTTAAAATCCTCAGATGATGGTACCATGCTTTGGTTTAACTCTTGTAATTGAACCTGAAGTCAGCTAACATTGTTCATCAAGGTACGCGGTGGCTTGGCGTGAGTGCTACATGATAACTGAGGCGGCTACAACACGCGTGATCTGAACATTTTTGGTACCCGAAGAAAAATATCGTGACTTCTCACGTTGAACTGGACAATATGCAGGTGACGAATTTGATTCTAAACATAGGTTCAAACGTATAGTCACCTACGCAGAGACCGAGTTTGTAAACTGTGTTCAGAAGGAAATCCTGGTCTCTTCGTATCGACCATGATAGTACCTTCTACTGACTGAATATTACTGGTGTTAATATTTCATTCCATCTCATTATTATCCTTGATTCATCTAAACATACTTTTTGACAGTACCACTACCTTATTTGTTTGTTCATACAGAGTTTGAAATTCCTGACAATCTTAATTTCTTTCTCTGATAACTGATTGTTTATTTAAGTGATGTAACTGTACCACAATGCACTACCTTTATTTTATTCTTGCATACCCCATATCCCCTATCCATTTGAACTTGATTTGCAAAACATTAGCACCTATCGCTTTCCATGACTGGTTTAGCGTAATTTATTTATTCAACAATCAGCGTACTACACACACTAATTTTATCGACATTTAACGAATTCATCAAATCCTCGCTAGATGACATTTATAGCACAATTTGCTGCCCTAACTATGTCAACAAGTATTCCCAGTATTTCATAACTTGTTTCATTGCAATTCTTTATATATCCCAAATGGTTGTTACATCATCCCTGTGTTCAAGTGTTTGGTAGTGACTCGATGATTTGAGGTAAAGTGATTAATCTCTCACTCTACTTAACTAAATGTGGTAACCGAGCGTTACTGCTTTTTATTCGTTGCTGCCTATGTTGGCTGCAATGCGCCAAAATATTCCCCATACCGAGGAGGCACACAAATGTCAGATTTAACCAAGATAAGTACGACAACAATAGCCTAATTATTCACAATACCGAGTATATACCCTTCACGAATCAACGGAAATTTTAACAATGAATAATCGATGTCCACTAGATCGCACCAATCATGAATTCACGCTAACAATCATCTGTTATCTATCCTAGCATTAGATTACTGTCTATTACTTTCAACCCATACCAGCTCGTCGTTTGATCACATGTATGTGAATGCATCACAAGGACTGGGCATTCTTCTAGACTAATTAACTAAGCAGGGTCAAACATTCCACCTCTAGCTTAATTGTTATGCTCCATAATTATAACTGACTCTAACCTACATATTGACCCAACTAGCATTTTCCTCCGTCTCACTGCAGTATTTTCGGGGGCATATTCTTCCAGCACAATAGCGAAAATGGGACAGTTATCTGCAGTCTGCTCCCCAAAGTTTCTGCAGTACTTCGAAACCAGAGCTACCTGGAAAACTGAAAACTAAAGAATTTTTAACACAAATGTTTGAGGTGGTGGCCCAGTCGATGAATTTTTCCAGGACCTGAGATATGCGGGTAGAAACGTGGACAGTTTTCCGTTCAAATTTGGGAAAAGTGGAAAATGGTGGGCTGTTTTCGGTTGTAACATGGGTGAAGTGGGAATAAGTGGATTATTTTAGAAAATGGCATGGGTAAAGCGGGAAATGTGGGCAAAGTGTTTGTTGTAAAGGTGGATAAACTGGGAAAAGGGGGAAAATAAAATTTTCTGGGACATGGGCAAACGGGGAAAAACTATGCAGCAGTTACGCCATCTTTTGCCCATCTACTTGCCGACTAAAATTACCCATTAAGCCCCCGCTTAAGCCACATTGCCCTGGTGCATTCTCTGACTTCTATTGAAAAGACTTGGTGGACAGCTGTTAACATCCTTAAATACCATGCGCCGGTTTACATAGTTGCCAGTAACGCATCATCTGTCACAACCTTTCCTGCTGTTGTGACTCGCTGTAAAAGTGACGTCAGATCCTGCAGGCTTATCGCAGATAACACTGTTAAGCCGGAAGCCGATATGCCTCTCATTGATTTGTAAACCATGTGCATATAAGTGCTCCATGTCAGTTACAACTGGCAATAAACAACTATTGAAGTAAGACGGTTTATGAAAACCACCATAAACTCCAATAAGAAATATATCACTAAGAAACGGTTTCACCAGTCGACCCAATATCGGCAAAACTTGCTGTGTTCCATTGTTAAACAGTGACAATCCATCAACATTCAGCTGCAGATTAACGCAATCGAAAGATGCAAACTGACACCAACAACTCAGTATAGGCGTAAGTATACTTCGCAAACCAATATGATAGTAAACTCCACTACCAATAACAGTTGAGGGGCATGACTGGCTAGTTTTGAGAATGTGTCTTATATTTGTTGGTAATCTTGGAATATGCCGTTTGAACAATCGCATAATCTTTCCACCATCAACAATGGATGTTTTAGTGGTCATCATAAGCTTTAAGGCAGTCTTCCTAGGCTCTGCCTTTGAATTGCGTTCTTTCGCCTTATCGGAACGTATCTCATGGGACAAAAGAGCGCCCGCAGCATTACCTTATAAAATAGTCGTCACACGAAATACTAAGAAACCAACTTGGTAAAGTGGTTTGCATGTCACTTTGCACGTTTACGACGCTACAAGAAGTTTCATCTACTAGACATTCACCAGCCTCGACTCTGAAATCGGGAAGTATCATCTTGGCTACGTCACCGAGCAACTCCGATTTCAATCTCTTAGTTCTTCTATACAATGTGGATCGGTGGCCTGTCTCTTTTTCAAACAAACCTAAAGCACAAGGCTATATTAAAGAGAGAATAAAGTACTTCTAAGACGTCTAGGGGTATTCACATCACTACCACTTGGTACTACTTCACTTTCAGTAACCATTTTATTACCTTAAAGAAGACATTACTACACATACTTAACTCACTTAGTCAAGGGTGCGAGATAGGATAGCGGCACAAATGGCTTATGGAGAGGCTGAGCACTTCAAGGTCACTTATGCACGCTGTGATTGGTAGATTTTCTTCGGCGTAAACGTTGCGGCTAATACGTGCTGTACGTTACTGAGGCGGGCTTTGAAATAGCAATAATAAAAGCGGATAAACATTATATTTTTTAGCTTAAGGGAACAAGTTAACATGCTTATAAATTTCACAGATGTGAGAAGCATTAGATCCAGTAACAAGGAGAATACTACTGAGTAACTTAATCAAAGAAACATAAAGTTTGGAGACTTTATGTCTTTCAGTTAATTGTAACGGATGGGTAAGAGTCACTTGTATAATATTTGCTTTCTATAGAAGAAAAAGTGTGACAGGTGATTTGGAAGTTACATGATTCCTGAAATCTATCGTGGAATATATGGACGACTAATCTGTAGAATTTCACCAACTCTGTGGTTGTTCTTTGCCTTGTTCACATATTCACTGTGGCTAAGATTAGGAATTGTTCACCAAAGGTAAGATTAATTTACTCGATATGTATACATCCTCAGATATTTCTCAATACGGCCGAAGGCAGTCGAAGGAATATAATCTCAATCTCTGCTTGAAAAGTTCACATCCAGTTTCT